CCACTGTCCCTTGTCCCCAGAGTGAATTCTCTCACTCCACCTCCCAGGACTTCATTGGAGCCTTCAGCCCTCCACAGTGCAGTGGGCAAGTCAAAGTGATGCTGGCTTGCCCAGCAGCCTTCTTCTGCCTTCGGTTCTATTCCTGCATGCCTCTGTGGACTGCTGCAGCTTCCAGCCTGGTGGTGTCTTCCCCAGTATTCACACGATCTCATAAGACGTAGGGAAGCACAGGCAGGCAGGGGGCTCACTTCATCCTGGCCTCGTCGAGTACATATAAAAATACATACAGTCACAGTACCTTTGCTCACAGGTCTGAGCTCCTGGCTCACTGTCTCGCTTTGCTCCCTGCAGGGATCTTATCGCTGTGGGCCTTGTAAACCAGGATACATCGGGGATCAGATGAGGGGATGCAAAATGGAAAGAAACTGCAGAAACCCAGAACTGAACCCTTGCAGTGTGAATGCACAGTGCATCGAGGAGAGGCAGGGGGATGTGATGTGCGTGGTGAGTCACTTGTTACTTGCTTTGTCATTTTCTCTCTCCGTTTGAAACACCAACCCTCTCCAGTTTCTACTTGCATCAGAGTAAAAATACCCAACAATGAAAACATTTCCATCAAAATAAACAAAGGATGTAGTGGAAGTCAACTGAGTTTGTAGGGAGCAATCTGAAGGCCCCCTAACCATCGGCTGCCTTTTCTCTCCCACTTGGCTGAGGGTTGACCCCATCCCCTCGGGGGCCTCAGGGTGGAGTCCCCCATGGAGCCCCAGCTCCCAAGCACCCTCTGTGAGCAGCTGGAGGGGAAAGAGCCTCCTCCCCTCCCTTCCTGCCGCTGCCCTAGCTCATTGTTGGTATCAGCACACTGCTGCCATTTCTAACTGTCCTCACCCTGAAGATGTCCAGTTTCACAATCTGGCTTAATACTCCCGGAGGTGAGCCACAGTGATGGGTGGTGGGCTGCTGTCATAAACCCTGGCAGAAAAACCTCCTGTTTCTTGCAGTGCTTGTCCACCTGCGCCAGGTTCAGGACCAGCTCCGTGGGTGCCCACGCTCCTTCCTGTTTGGTTCCCAGGTTCTCAGCCCGGAGCCAGCCTGGGGAGGAGGAGGCCGGGAAGAGGGTGGGGCAGTTGCAGCCTCTCGTGGGTCTCTTGCCAGGCAGGTGTGTATGGGCCCTTGGTAAGGAAGGAGGCTCGGTCTTGGCATCCGTCCCCAAACCCCAGGCTCCAGAGTCCTCGGGGATTCTAGATACACTGCTAAATCAACCATCTTCACTGCCTCACCACCTCCTTCCTCCCCAGGGAGCCAGGCCCTTTAGGGTCTGGTATTCACGGGTTCACAGTGATCACGCTGAGCGGCCGGATGGATGCTGGGAGACTTTCTCCCTCTTCTTTAGACCTCAAATTCAGACTTCTTTACCTTTCTGTTCGCAAAATTTCCTACAGTGAGCGTATCACTTTGAAATAGGAAAATGAGAAGAATCAAAACTCAGCTAAAGAATTAACTGTAATGATGTCAGCTCTCTCCAACAATACGGATAATCCGTAACCGAGGTGCTGATGAGGGAACAAGCTGGGTCAAAGGGGGAGAAAAAAATCAACCAATTCCCTTAATTCCTGTTGACTGGACATGTTGATTACCCTCAAGAGGCAGGTGTATATCTACATTTAAATCCGCGTTTTCTGTGAACAAATTAACAGCGCCCCTGGGATGGTGGGTGATGGGGCTCTTGATATGTTTTTGAATTTGTAATAAGGTACAAGGACAGATGGTAAAGGATGAATACACTTGGTGTGAGTACTAAAATAATTTAATCTGCCAGAAAATGGCTCATTAAAAACGTATTTGTTCCTAAAGGAAATTTTTTCTTCATTCAAATGAGTCAAGGACTGTACCCCATGGCTGCACTTTCCAGGCCTTCTCAAGGCCCTGCTGAAGCAATTGAGCGGAAATGGGGGGAGTTATGGGAAGGATCGCTTTGGAATCCTGCCTTCTAAATCTCTGGTTGCAGGAGAGTGCAGACGATTGGAAACAGACTTACAAAGTCACTGGTCTTAAATCACTTTATTTTGATCAATGAGGGCAGGAAATTTAACATTTACTTGTGTCAAGTTTCTCTTCCCTTGGCCTTGACCCTGTTCCCCAGACTCTTCCCTCCCCTGCCCCTTGCTGGTTCCCTATCATTTTACAGGGCCCCCTCCCTGTGTTCCCCCTGCTGTTCTGCCTGCCCCTCCTGCAGGCACCCATCCTGCTCCTGGGCTGAGCTCCCAGGTACCAGCTCCTACCCAGGACGCCACTTACGGAAGGATTTCCTTTCTCTTGCGTTTGTCATTCATCCTAGGCCAGCTAGGATATGGAATATCAGAGGGAGAACTCTAAGTGTGCGTTAACCAAATATTAATGGCAAAAAATACTGAACTGGGACAGTCTTGAGTTCAAGTCCCAGCTCTAAGACCTTGAGCCAAGAGACTTGCCACTCTGAGCTGAGTTGACACTTTTGTAAAAGGAGATAATAAGGACCTTGCAGCAGCATCGTAAAGACTGGAGAAAATGGCTACAGAGTCTGGGATAGAATAACTGTTGTCTTAACGCCTAGTCTGCCAACAACGAAGGCTTGCTGTCGGCAGCTGGTGGTAGCAGGGAACTTGGGTAGACTTTTCTAAGAAATTAGAGAACATGCAGGCCCAGCAGTGCACTTGCAGGAACCTTAAGCTATGAATAGAGGTGAAGCACCTTGGAAGGTTCTCCCTGTGGTGGAAGCTGACCTAGAAGACCATTAGATTCAGGAATGGTAAGGAGAGTGCCACAGCGGCCACCCCACCCACCACCCACGTGTGCGTTAATTCCCACTGGGAGAAGCAGCTGGATAATCACATGGAGAACATTTTGACAATAACTCAAAATTACAAATACCCTCTGAACCAGGAATTTCACACTAAGAAACCAGTACGTGTACAGAATGACAAATGTATAGAATTATTTGTGGCAGCACTATCTGCAGGAGAAAAGGGTTTTAACGACTTGACACCCACCAGTAGAGGATGGGTTGAATTAGCTGAGGTGCATGCACACCACCTTCTGTTTGATGCATCTGTGCGCCTTCAAAGGAATGACACGATCTACAGGCAGAGAGGTGGAAGGAGCTCCAAGATAGTGTTAATTTTTTTAAATCAAGTTGCCTAGCAGTGGATATATGTGTACTACCAATGGTGCTGAAGGACAGAGAGAGAAAAAGAACGTATGTGTGTGTGCTGGTCTCTGCCCAGCATGTCTCTGACAGCTGACTGCCTGGACTCCTGAGCCAACAACCAGGACGGGGAAAGTTTTCACTCTGTCTTCCTTTGTACCTTTTGAGTTTTGAACCATTGGCCTATTCAGAGTACAACTTAATAGTTTTAAAATCCTACCCAACAAAGCTTTCTGGCTCTGGGCCCTCCCTCTGGGCATGCACACCCAGGACCAGAGCCCCTTGTCAGCCACCAGCCCCCCACCAGCCCCGGCTCCTGGGCCTCTGATGGGCTTTACCTTCACAGTGTGGAGTCGGCTGGGCTGGTGACGGCTACATCTGCGGAAAGGACGTGGACATTGACAGTTACCCTGACGAAGAACTGCCGTGCTCTGCCAGGAACTGCAAAAAGGTACGGGGAACAAGAAGGGGAAGACACACGCACACACGCACACAGGCACACAGGCACACAG